CCAAGATGGTGTGGCCTTTTGTGTGTTCGCAGTCTCCTTTCGTTGTATAGAAGTTGTTTGACCTTGTTTTTGAAACTTAGTAATATTGGTAGGAAGACTTAGAGAAACACATCTTGTCCGGAGTCCATTGTATGCATACTCATTTCCAAAGTCGGACCGTGGACGTGGTACATTTCCAGACGTTTCGCCGGCATCGTGATCGGCATTGTCAGGGAGTCTCGCCAATCTTAGCACCATATTATAACTCGTCAAAGAGACAAGTTGTCGTCTGAGAATGTACCACGTCCACGGTCCGAATTCGGAAATGACTATGCATACAATGGACTCTGAACATGGTGCGTTCCTCTAAGTCTTCCTACCCATATGACCAAGTTGCGAAAACAAGGTCAAACAACTTCAATATTTTTTCGTATTTATGAAATCACAAGATTTAATGAATTCAGGGTCTTACTAGATTAAGGCATGGCGTATAGATATTTATTGCGTCCATTGTGCTGCTATCATAAAACTTACTCATCTTGTTTTAGAGCTATTCAGCGATTCGAGTCTGGAATTTACAGCCATAAGTTACGTTGAATTGAGCCATAATTGGTAAGTTATCCATCTATCCTTGTCTCTTTTTGTCTCTTTCTCTCTCTCTCTCTATATATATATATAGTTAGTGAGATAATTATCGAGATGTATAAACTTATTTTGAGATCCTTTGATTGAAAAATCTTTTGCATATTATTTTCAGGCATTTCATATCATTCTATATTTTAAATTCTATTTTAAGTCTTTACCCTTAGTTTGGGCTCTCATTATCCTCGTGTGCTCACTTACATTTAGCTTTATTTAATCCAACTTCCGTAAAAGCTTCTTTACATTTGGTTGATTTAAGATGACAAACTTATCGTCTTTGTTATTGAAATTGCTATAAAGGCTTTAAATTGTGATATCTTGCTGACATTTTATAGATCACTAGAAAAATCAGCTTTTATTATGTAAGACTTAACAAGCTTACTAGAGAGTCTTATTTTATATGCTTGAAATCGATCGAATTCGTAAGGGGCTTCTCATTGGAATTATCAAAAGTAGATATTTAATAATTGTTTAAATGATTAGCTAATTGTATCGTAATGATATTTGCGCCCTCAAGTCTAGTAGTAATTACTATGTTTTCGGCAAGGTAGCGAGTCGAATGGCAAAATTTACTAAATTTTTACATGGTGCATACAATCTATTTTCGACGCTTGCTACTCTCATAGCTTCTTAGTTGCCGTTGGATGGGACCGCCGGATACATCTGTTTTCAGACACAGCCTCCTTGCCGACTGGTTTTCAGCGAACTATCCAGTACCCCCAGGCCAAGTGGTATGACGACCTGGTAAATGGGCACCAGGAAGATATTTTGTCACTAGCCGTCAGCTCGACTAATCTGCTGGCAACCGGTGACTACGCTGGACAGATCATTGTTTGGAATATGGTCAGCGGTCACATCTTCTGCCGATTGAAGAGCTCAAGCCAGTTCATGGTAAAACCAAGGGGTCAGCAAAATAAGCAAAAATGGGAGGGTGAGGACAGGGAAGAGATGGGATTAGAAAAAGGGAAGCAGAGGAGCACAGAGGTAGAAGACGAAGGAGAAGATTGGTACGGTGATATTTACAGAAACAATGAATTCGGGAGCGACGAGGTTAAGAACAATGAGACTTATGCCGACAAGAGGATCGCAGACAGCCGGTCTTCAAGAATGAGCAAAAGTGCTTGGCAGTCCTCAAATTCGACTGCTTCAAGCCAAAACTTTCAGGCCTTGCCGACTCCTCCTATCGCCAATACGGATTCTTTGCTTGAACCGAACTGCCACATGCTGAACGAAATAAGCAGTTCAAGAACGAGACCAGCTGGGGGAAGGGATGCTGCATCTAGCATCAATCACAAGGAAGATTGCGAAAGGAAAATGGAAGTACGACAAAGATGCAGACCCCACTCTGTTTGTCAGCCAGGCCACTTAGGGTCGTCTGCCAAAAATAATAAGAAATCTCTAGAATCTTCTATAAGAGGATTTTCACACAGCGAAAGGACTTGCTGCGCAGTAGGAAGAACAAAGTCAGCCAGGTCAAGAGCGGCAGAAACACGTAAGTGACTACGAATATTGGTAAAATTTCGCAATGG